ATGATGATGATGATGATGATGATGATGATGATGATGATGATGATGATACTTGAAGACTGAAATTGACAACATAGCCCACTCGGCGCCGCTGCTTACTTTCATGAACAAGGCTGTGGTCAAAACATGTCAAAACCCTCGCATACAAAACAAAAGAGCTTGTCCGCTCAAGGCATGCAAAGGACTCAACGGAAGTTTCTGTCTTGGTGAGGTCCACTCAAAGTAGCCACCACCTGGATGTCCTTCTGATGGTTTCATTGCCATGCCCGCAACTTTTCTGTGACATCTGGTTTCATGTGCAAACGCAATGTCACTACACTTTAAAGAAGTCTCGGGATTTGAGGCTGTCCTACAACACCCACCATAAAACATATTCAAGAGAGGCCATTGTCCCTGTGAGGAACTTGCTCAAACACTGGTTGGAGGATGGAAAGGCAAAGTCAAAGTGGGTTTGCATCAGCCTCGAAACATAAAATCTTTCTTCAGTGAGACAAAATCTCTACTTTCACTCCTGTCCAAACATCCAACGGGTGGCTGCCAAGATTGCAGTGATGCATACGAGGACCATCCAAAAGGTCCTTGAAGCGCTGAGAGGCAGCAGAAATGGACTGGAAGAGGCAGCCAAGATGAAAAATAAATTCTCTCAAAAGCGGATTCTTGTTCAAAAATCCTTTGACACGCCCTTTAACCATCAATGTTTTGAGTTCCATGCAGGAACTCCTGGACCTGATTGTTGATGCAATGATTCACCTGAAACAGGCTTCCCCGAAAGCCATCCTCTCATGCCTATCACTTTCGACAGCAGAATCAATAAAAGTCACAGCAACTTTTCGCTGAATGGCACAAACCAAATCATTAGACTATATATATATATATATTTGGGATGCTACTATTATGTACATACATAGTATCAGTAATCTAAAGCACCATACAACACCTGCTTTTGGGGGAGAAACCCCAAAACCACCTGCTCGATCCTCCCTCCGATCTCGCCGTCTTCTATTTGAATGCGTTTTTCGATCGAGAAGTGCGCCGGATCTCCGGTCATCCAGGGCTCCACCAGGTCATCCACATGGGTAGCACACACCACCGTTGCTCCCGCGTTCCCGCCGGCCGCTTCGACAAGTTCCCGCTGGTGCGGATGCCTCGGTGGAAGCCCCGGGCGAAAGGTCGGAAGATGGGCCGAAAGCTTCGCAAAGCATACGGATGTGAGCTTGAAGGGCAAGTTTCTTGCGGTCTTTGTCACCACAGAAGTCACAGTTGCCAGAAGTCAGACCGCTCGTTGTCTTGCCCTGCTTGAAAAGGCTCGCTTCGGGTGCAGCCGCTTTCTTTCATGTGGAAATTCATGGTACAAAAAAGGCACTTGAGCCTCTGGGCCAGCCTGACCTGATACATCATAATCCGCATTTGAGCCGCTTAATTACGGACCTCAAGTTACTCAAGTTGTTCTTATTCACATGGTGCATAAGCCAAATGTTTGCAGCGTAAGATTCAAGACGTGGTCCCGTTTGCAGCGCTGCAGGCGCAATATGCGCTTTGGAGGGACCTTCCAGATGTGACAGATCCACTCGCCCGCAAGATCTTGCCACAGGTGGAGTGATGAGGTTCTTTCGGCAAGGAACAAAAGACCAGATCCACAAGGAAAAAAGTACACACCGGGGCCTCTTAAGGGGTGTCCAATTATATAGCTCCTTAGAGGTAAAGGGGTATCCATTAACATCATTAACCACCCCTTAGGGGGCCCTGGTAGATTGAAAATTTAGCAACTGTATCTAAATCAAGCAGACCAGATCCCAAGGATGTCAATAGATGTCAGTCACTCTATGGGACAAACTCAAGTCTTGTGCCACTTACTGGTCAAGTCCTCCAGTTTCGGCGTTTGACTTCGGGACCCCTCTTTTTAGATAGAAAAGTAAATCCCTACTAAAAAGGTATTGGAAGCCGCTGCTATCTATTTTGGAATTAGCTATATGATTCTTCCATATGCCGCATGGAACCAGTCTTCCGCCGTGGGGACCGAGATCCCGGCAGAATTCCAAGCAGTTACAACTGAAATGATATAATACAGTAATCCAAGATCCAGCAGAATCCACCAGGGAAAGACAATCAATCCATTGTTTTATTTATTTTGCGCAGCAGTTGCATTCCAGTCCTAACGAGTCAAGTCATTCACACCTCCTGCTTCCTCATCAATCCTGATCCTTGCAAACATGTCTTGGCTGAGTAACATGTACGTAGACATGATCCGTTCAGCAATGGACGTAGACATAGAAAACCAGCAAAAGATGCGCCAAGATGCGCTGGTGCCGTACGAGATGCTTCAAGGACGCCTCACTGTTGAACATGGGATGACCTGCGCCGGCTGGGCCGACATCCCGGCGTGGGCGACCCAGCGAACCAAGCAGGAGAAAGATCCCTTGTTTTGCAGCTCAAAGGAAGCATCTTGTTACATGGAATTGTATAATATATATATAATATGAACCACCACCCCCCAAAACAGCCAAACCAAACACACCAACACAAACAATAAATCATTTATAGAGAAACTCTGAAAGTGTGACTGACATCCAGGACAACCGAGACCTTAGGGCATGTCAAGTGTCATCGAACAGTTTCGCCCTTCGAATAAGAATCCAGCAATAAAAATATCCTTTACTTCAAAGAGAATACACATCGTGACATCATCAGTGGATCAAGTTAAGAACCTGAAAGCAGTTGATCAGTTATACAAAGACCAAAGACCCCAACTCAACAACTGATCTCTTTCATCTTACCATCATTCCCTGCTTCCTCGAACGTCCTGAACCTCCTTCCGCCACTGGTCGTCTAGCCACCCACATCCAAGAGATTCACGTCCGCACACGGGCTGGACAAAGCGCTGGACACCTGGGTCCAGGGGACGGAAAGAACCATGCGGACTGGAGCCAGGTGGTTTGCGGACTGGAGCCAGGTGGTTTCACGTCCTTCATGTCCTTCACTTGTCTCAAAGGCCCGAAGGCCCAAAGCCTTCCCGGCTGGGCCAAAGCGATGGAGCCGAAACATCCGACGAAGGTGAAGCAACATTCACCCAAATCCCGCGGCCCTGGCCACGGTTCCTCTGATTTTGAGAGATGCTCATGGCATCTCATGGCATCTCACGGCGTGAGCAGCACAGCGAAGGAAGGATCTGGCTTGAAATGGAGCACATGGTGGTTTCTCAGCTTGCTTTGCTTCTGCTCCTGAAGCAGTGTTTTTTTGTTTGAAGGTCGGGGACCAAAGGAAGTAAAACATGGAATCTGTGGACTCATCTCATGGTCATGGATGATATGGATTCAACACCTGAGGATTGATATGGATCGCGTGAACCAATTCCGGGTCAGCTCCTGGTTCCTTTAGACCGGGAGGCTGACCATGTAACATCTACCCCTGTGAGTCTCCAACATGGATGGGAAAACATGGACCCCTGTCCTGTTTTTTTGCACAAAAACCCTGAAGGGGGTTCCGCTGCTGTTTGTTGAGGTGAAACATTGTGGTCATTGGGAGCGATCCTGTCAAATTGTCAGAATAGCAAGAACGTCGCCAAACTCAGTGGTTTAGGGCTCTCATGCACATCAAGCCCAAGACGCATACAGGTCATGGTCATTTCGAAACCTGGGCAGCCCGCCGTTTCGGTTTCGAGCGTTGTTTTCTGGATCACGGCCATGGCGCGTTGATCTTGAGCGAGTTCCCAAATTGGATCTTTGGAAGACGTAAGAACCTTTTGGCCGTTTTGCATCACTTTTGGGGGTCTAAACTAGTCTAAACCAATGATGTGGCTCAAGGACATCAAGTACCTGGTGGTGAGCAGGCCATACCCTTGCAAAGTACGACGTACGAATTTGTAGTGAGCTTGGTGGTGTCTTGCTTCACAAAAATGTAATTTCTTGACATGTTGGTCCAGTTCAGTACTGTGGTACTAGCAGTACATGCCAGAACCGTATCACTGTATTTGGCCCCTGCATTCTTCACATTAAGACCCAAGACTCTTGAATTCCTCTTGTAGTCAAACCCTGTTAAGCGTGGCGTCTGGCAGGGCCAGAACGCTGCGCTGGAGAGGCGGTGGCCGATCCAATGGGCTTCATTGAAGACGGGTGGCTGAAGATAGGCTCACAGTTTGAGAATGAGATTGTGTTGTGAGTTACACTCCCTGGAACCAACATGGAAGTGGATGGCATAGCTCCTTGGAGGACAATTTTCCTCTACAAACAAGGGGTTTTCCACTTCCATCTTAATTCCAGGGTGAGTATTGTGGGTTTGGGTGAAGGGTCACGAATCAAAGCTTTGCCTACCTCAGGCATGACTGCGGATTCCCAAAGGAGGGGATGCGTTGAGGATAGGCATCGCTGCTGCTGTTATATACATTTCTGCAGCTACATGGTCTTTGGATCCAGAGAAAAGCCTGCATGATGAAAAAACGTTCAACAAATTGCATAACATCCAAAGCCAATCAATCAAATCAATCAAATCATGTCTCAGCAAGACTGCTGTTCACGCCGTCTTGATCAACCTATAGTACGTTGATCCAAGCAATTCGTCACGGCGTGTACGGCGTGAAGGAACGGGTAAACGGTCGCGAAGGAACGCTCGCGTGGATTCTATGGGCCCCCCCCATGACCCGCAACGGGTGGTGTACTTCTCCCAGTATCAGATGAAGCAGACAGATTGACACAACTAAACTGGAAGAATTGAAACAGTTGGTGAAAAAAACTGTTCTTGACCAACAGCATGCCAGTCTCAATCGGCAGAATGTTGACATGTCAACAAAAAGGACATATGATGACTCTCCCGCCGCCCATCTAAATCAGCGCTGGCATGCTTCTCCAAGATGCTCAGACGAACGGCCCCGGGCCGAGGGAGTCAACGTCATGGCGACAGCGGACGAATGTGGCGCCACATGGCGTGGCGAACCCGCTCAGAGGTCGACCGAATGGACACCGACACCGACATGGGTAGGTGCACAGGTTGGTCGCCTCCGACATGAGGTCACTGGAGTGTCTTGTCTTTGTGTCTTTGTTTGTCCGCCGTGAGCTACCAAAAGGTCCACTGGATCATCCACTTCCGAGGTCTTCAGGTCAGGCCGTGTCTGCCAGTCGGTCTCTGTTGGGTTTAAATGGTCGGGATCTCGGGGGCTGGGAGTCTCCACATCGGCCTTCCTCGCCCTCGTGTGGAAGGCATCAAGCCTGGGTTCGCCTGGTCTGTGGTGAAACACACTGTCTTCTGAAGTTCCTTGGGCAGGATAAGCACACGGACTCGAAAACATGCTTGAATCCAAGAGCTTCAGCACCAGGACCGAACATCTTCTTTGACTGTTGGGGTCATATTCAGTTTCGGGTTGCTTCCCAGTGCATGTTTCATAGCACTTCTGGCTCTTCCACCCAACTGAAAGTTATGCACCTTTGGGCAAAGCCTAGATTCTGACCAGCATGAGGCCAGGGTCGACTAATGGGCAGCAACACGTTGGGTATCACTGAAGGGAGACTTTAAGGACAAGTTGCTCGATACGCATTGACTTCCAGGAATGATGTTGTAGTGCAAAATTGTCAAACTATGAACTGTATGAACTTGTGCACACTGGTCTAGTCCACTTAGCCTTAAGGTACATGGCCACAGGTTGGGTATATCCCATTCCCATTAACAGTGGATGATAGTTAGTAAAGGCCCTTCTCCAAAATAGTGATAACACCTTTTTCCGACTGTTATAGGTAATGGGACACCCCCAAACGCCCCAAACATCCACAAAAAACGATTCCTTTTCAAAACCGATCGACCCGTCTACTTCTACGAGCGTCGTTTATGCCCTCGACTCCAAGGCCTCTTGGAGGGCCCTCGCACTGCGGCCCGTCCGTTTGGGCCGCAGGTTCTCTTTGTCCTTCGAGAGATTTGGGGCGGGGCGGGAGGGGCGGGTGGCGGCGCCCAGTGGCTGTCTCGAAGTCAACAAGCGTCGAGTTTTTTCAATCCAACACCTGGCCCCAGTGGTTGGCATTCAATAGCCTGTTTTGTGAAATACAGTCTCCTTTGAGCCACTCCTATCTCCAAGTAAATCTTTTGAAAGCGACGCCACCTTTTGTATGGCCCTAACAGTCAAAAAGAGGTCTTAGGGGATGCCTGGGTCCGGCCATGTTCCTTTCAGACCTGAAACTGCTGCTTCAACCAAATGAAGCAACGCACTTCTGCATCTTCTTACATCTTCTTACTTGCTTTTTTAATCAAAAGTATAACGCGCACCACATCACACCACTGCACACCACTCATCAATCCACAAAGTCAGCGGCAAGAACCACGGAAGATATGGAAGGCATGGGACACCAAAACCTCTTCAATCCTCTTCAAAATCCTTCAATACCATTCAGTGTTGGCGGTCGATAAATCCATTTTCCCCCGTATGGAGATGTAAAACATTGTAAAACCACTCCGGTGGGAGTGAACCACTCTAATACACATGCAGTCAACATTCTGCAGCTTATATATATATATATAGCTCATTATAGCTCATATGATGCGCAACTGCTCCAGGCAAATGATTCCACTCGCCTCCTCCAATTGTGTAGGTTTGTCTCCAACAAGAGAATATTGTTATTAGCCAAGCTGACATCTAGACATCTGCTGACACCTGCTATTTCATGTGCAACCTGAAAGCTGACGGTGTGAGATCGCTTCAGACTTTCCAAGTTCCATTCCGTGTTGAATTCATAGCCCTTCATCCACCCGTGCGTAAGGCTACTTGATGGAGTCCACACCTCCGTCAGATATGACGCTTCTTGTTCAGTCTTCTCCCACCCTTGTCTCTGACCCAAGCGTGCTCGAAGGGCGTTCAAACGCCGCCCCATCCCAAAGACCTATAGGACTATAGGACAAACCCCACAACTGGCAGTCACCAATCTTGTCTCATCCCAGTTGATCCTCACCAATTTCACATTTCAGCCGTCCGTTGACACCCCTGACACCCAGTAAAAGCGCCTGCTCAAAGAGGGCCAGTTCCGGAATGTCACCGACCTATCACATGTACAAACACTGCATGCTTTGCCTTTGATGCGGCAAAACCCATCACAGTTGAGAGAAAACTGAAACGTCCCACAAATCTCATAAATACTTCAACTTCCACAGTTTGATTCCAAACCTATTGTAGCATGGTCCGGTCAGGAATCCGCGGTCATCTGACAAACCAGGCATCCAAACAATCAATCCAAATTTTGGCGGCCCCCTCCATATCAGTCTCTTCACCCAGAAAGGCTGTGGCTGCCAAGATAGGCCGCAATAAACATAATGCATTGGTAGTGACTGGATAAACTGATAAGCTGATAGTGGCGGGGCCTCCATCTTGGTAAGCAAGCGCCGTTGTGACGCTGAGCCAAACGCTGAGCCAAACGCCAAGCGCCGTTGGATAGCGATCTCGTGTCACGAAACATATTCTCGATTCCTTCTGTCAATTGTCAAGTTCTTTTCAGCCATCCACAACAAAGAGGTGATGTTGTTCCAAGCATCAACGACGACCATGCTTCCAACTTCAGGAATCTATTATTGGCAAAGGAGGACCCCCTTAAAAAAAGGTATGAAAGGCCTATTGTCCATGTTGGATTGCAAAGAGCGCAGCTGGCTGTGTCCTGCCCCCGTTCAGAAAAAAAGGTTTTCTCGTCGAGCTCTCGCTGCTTCGCTCGAGGCATCTTTCGGCTAAGCTGGTCCCTGCGAGACAAATCGAGGAGTGGAGCGGGCAAAGAAATGGAGCTTCAGTCGAGGCCACGGGTGAAGAAATCTGATATGTAGAACTCTAGATCTACTTTGTTCTATTCACCACTGAGTAATTACAAAAACTGCTGTATATAATATGTTATATATACACATTGCCATGTGTTCTTTCTGTTCAGAACATCATACAACCCTCACCCCCAGGGTTCGGAGCACTGAGCACTGTCATGGTCCCACTGGGACGGGGTCGCTTCACCGGCATCGACAGCTTGCCAAAAGAATGTTTGGTCTATTTGATCTTATTTTGGTACATCTGTCCATTTGTCCATTTCCATCTGTCCATTTTTTTGTCCATTTGTCCATGTTATCTTATTTTGTTGTTTTTTTTCCATCAGTCCACATTTTGGGACTCTCTGTTGATTGAACACATGGCAGCTTGCATCAACTCTGCTGCCGCCTATCAGCGGAGCTTCTCTCAGGAGCTTCTCTGCTGCGAAGCTCCGCTGGCCTCATCCCCAGACTTTAGGAGATCCAGCAGGCAGGCGTGGCGGTCTCCTGCAGTCCCGACCAGCTGAAGCAAGCAAGCAGTGCCAATGCCCTTCCAGAGTCTCAAACTTGGATTGTGGTAGCTGTTAACTGTACACTCACATCCCCTAGAGTATACGAACAAGCACTGGTCTATTTTACGGGCTTCTTCTACTTCACTCATCTGATCTGATTTGACCTCGCCATGGGCAATCCCATCCATTCTCTCTCTCATCCAAAAACTCCTCCTCATCTTTTTCTTCTGCATCTTCTCATGCTGTGCTGTGAGATTTGGCGGATCGAAGGCCTTGACACGAAAACAGAGCTGGCGCACGTGTCACGTGCGGAGGCACGACTCCGCAGCAAGGCAACTGGCTCCATGGGGATTGTTACATGTTCCGGCATGTCCACTTGTCCAAATCATTGTTTTACCGTTTTATCATGCTTTATCGCTACCGCAGCGGTTCAAGTTGTTGACAGGAGGGGACAAAGATGACTGCCCGCACAAGTCGAGCTCTCATCCCGCGTGCCCAGCGCACATGAGGATCCACCGCACCAGGGATGCGCCAAAGTGCGTTCTTCGCCTCAAAAAAGCTGCAAGTTGCTGAGCAACACGTTGGTGTCGGTGTTCCACACGGTGGACATATGTGGCCCCCATGGAGACACCGCTGTGACACGGTGTCATTGGTGAAAAACATGGACCACACCGAGTGTGCTGTTCTGTTAACTCCTGGGAACTGTTTCCTGCTTCTCTCTCCTGGGAACTGTTTCCTCTGACCATTCTTGGTTATCTTTCTCTGTGAGTGTGTGCGTGTGTGTCGGGGGGATGAAAACCCTTTGTGATCTTTTCAATTTTCTCTGGCAAACTATTTTGTGTGACTCACGTGACATAAGAAGGCATCAGATTGAATCATTAATGAATCATTCAATAATATTCAATATGTTTAAAGAAACATACTTTATTGATCTGTACATACATGTTTCATCGATTTGCAACCCAGTTCAAACTCGGGACCACTAAACATCCAGTTGACCAAATCCAGTGTGACAATTGACCAAACTCATCCATTTTGGAGCTGCTCAGGCTGATGTCAGGACAAAACCACCGGATCCTTTGGGAAACCTGGTGGGACTTAGCCCTTTGCGAGGAAAAACACTGTTGATGTCATGTGTTCTTGTTCAAAGCATTTTGTTGGATTCTGTTGTCCTGTTTCTTTCGCTGCTGCTCGAGGAGGCTTGGTCCGGCAATTGTTGAGATATCCAGCTTTGGATGCAAAAACACCAAACAACATGTACCATGTTGACAACAGGCAAACATTGGCTAGAGTTGCAGTGGATCTTCCGATGATGTAGTAAAATAGCTTCTGAGACCGGGCGGGTTTGTCTTGCTCACACACCAGTCAGTTTGATGTCTAAAACAAAACACACACTTGAAAAGCACCCAGTCCATGAATATGGTTTGATAATAATCAATGACATATTCAATGCCAAAATAATACGACATCGACATTATTCTGTATACTGTATATTCCATATAATCTCAGGGCCTAAGCTTTTGCTAAAAGCAAATATAAGCTTTGGAGACTCGACATGTAAGCAAAGATCTTTGGACCGGGTGTCTACATCCCACAACAAAAAACACAACACTCAGCTCCCGTG